GAGAATAAACTAACAACGAAAGAGGAGAAAAAACCGACTGAGAAGAAGCAGCCAGAGGTGAAGCAGGAGGAGAAGATGGAAAACCTAATCAGCCTCCAAAGTTGCGTTCACTATCAACCTCTGATCTCACTGAAATCATGACCTACCTGTCGGAATCATGATTCATCTCTTCTGGCGAAGTCCCTCGTTCGTATCTCTGCTCCAACTCTCAGCCTGCATCACGATCCATCGCGACCCATCTACCTCTGCATCGTGACCCATCTGGCTCACGACCCACCTGGTGTCTGATTCTGGTTTGCTGGTCAGCCTAAATCGTGATCCATCGCGACCCGTCTGCCTCTGCATTGTGACCCATCTGGCTTACGACCCACCTGGTGTCTGATTCTGGTTTGTTGGCCTTTTCTTGCCGAATGACACCCCCCCCGACGTGGTTCGCCTCTTCTCTCTAGTCGACTTGGTTGGGTGACCCGTCTGGTCGACCCATCTAATTAACATGGTTAGTTGTGCTTCGACTTCTCTCTGCTAAGACTTCTCACTGGTTCTGCTTCAGTTCTCTGGTGTACTTCTGATTTGTTTTGATCGTATTTACTATAATTAGTTTGTTACAGTTGACCACTCAGTTATCTGTTATTGCATTTTGCCTATTTTGTTCTATTTAGGTTTATTACACTTGAACCCCTCAGTTTTATAGTTATTATGATGCCTCTGGCTTTGGATAAATGTGCCTACTGCCATCAAAGGAGTCATTGGAAGTACCATTGTCCCAAGAATGGATGCCTGTCTACTTCGTCTTCTTAGTAGTTTTCGATCCAGTTCTGCTCCTCTCCTTTGAGTATTGTTCGGCCTCCCGCTGGTTTTACTGCATCTGCTTCGGCTCTTGATCCTGACTTGGCTTCCTTGAGTGCTCAGATTAGCCAGTTTCAGCATATACTGTCTACCTTCCAACCATCCCCATCTGTCTCCATTGTTTCCTCTTCTCATTCAGGTTTGCTTGAATCTTCTTTAGGTATCTCTTCGTCTATCTGGATTTTTGGCTCTGATACCATGTAAGATTTCTAAATGGCTTTCTGTATATTCGAGTTGTAGAATACAAAGATTACAATCAATATTTATAGCAATCCTAAACCCAATCTATAATAGGAAATAATCCTATACAATCAATCGAATATCAACCTACCTAATTGATACATAATACCATAATTACATAATAATTCCATAATTACATAATACCATATTCTCACAATAATAAGGCTACTATTAACATAGCTCACAATCCAATTCAGCATGACCGAACGAAACATGTGGAGATTGATCGCCACTTTATTAAGGAGAAACTCACCAGTGGCACTATATGTACTCCTTCTATGAAGTCAGCTGAACAACTGGCAGACATTCTCACCGAGGGAATTGGAAGCAAACCATTCCATGATGTGCTTGGCAAGCTGGGCATGAGAGACATCTTCGCACCAGCTTGAGGGGGAGTGTTAGAATAATATCTTTGGTTATTGTGTATTGATTATTCTATTAGCTGTTATTTCCTTATTCTGTTATTTTCTTATTTGTGCCTCCAAGGCTTCCATTTTAAGTTACCTATTATCAATATAAAAGGGGATGATTGTCTAATCATTCCCTAAGTTCTTCTCTCTCAAACAAACACTCTTTGTACTACTTTTTGAACTCCTTCATGAACACAAATAAAGCATCAACATGTTTCTTAGATCTCTTCTCAATCCCAAACTGGGATTGTATGCCTCATAGAAGTATCCTCTACCCGAACTACATGCTCTGAAACTTCCTCCACCCTAACCCCTCCAACCTTCAAAATATTCCCATCGCCTAATAATGTTTGTCATCAACAGGTGATTGAATTTGTAACCCCACTTTTGGCCCCCATACAAACAAAGAGGTCTCTACTTAATAAAAATCTTCCTCCCGATATTCATATGGCATCTATATCTTGAGGCACCACCACCACCTTGTCTTGCTCCCTCCCTACCATTTGATAAATTGAACATCCCCTAGCCTCATTTTCAACCCCACCCTTGCCTATTGTAACAACGACCAACTCTTCTGCTCCCTTGACCAAAACTAGACCCCCTGCAACCTTCTCAAATCTACTTCCTTGATATGAGGACCTAAAATCTATATATTTTCATATTACATGAGAAAAGTGGCAAAATGAATTGTCATGCTCCCATAAAACACCTTGCAACATAAATGTTGTAGAAAATATGAATGAAAACAAAATAGTCACATAACAAGGAGATCACTTCTAAAGTTCGAAAAATGTACTATGATTCTTTATATAACTAAAAAGGAGTAGCTAGTACTAGATAATAAGATTTGCAATACATAGCTCAAGTGGAAAATCCTTTCCTTTTTGCAGAATGAGAGCGTCAAATGATCAGTATTGGTATAAGACTATACTTCTATATGACCTTGAATGCAACCTCAACACCTCCCTCCCTCTCCTTTTTATAACCCCATTTACAGTATCTAAGTAACCACATTAATATTTCTTTTATGTTTTGACTGTGAAATGTATTTTGGATATTTTGAAGTTTGCTATAGGGGTATTTTGGTCTCTCGGGTTAATTAGAGTTTCACTCTTTATAATTTATATATTTTGTTCAAACTGTGTAATTGATGATCTTCTTTTCCAAGTAAGGTTAATGGAATAATATGCGTTCGTTTCTCATTAATTTCGTAACATGGTATACATTAGAGTGAAATTGCAAACCTCTCTTCGAATCCAGTCGAAATCATTTGGCATCGCACTCTCTGATTCCAACTTATAAACGACTATATTTAGAGCTCTCGTTGTTCATCAACTCCTCTTTATTCTTTGTTGCCCTTCGTTGCAATCTACATTATAACTCTCTCTAATTCTTCTTCACTGTAGCACCAGTCACTCTGGCTTGCACAAGTTTGAATTATGTCTGTTGTCTGCGCCGCACTTTTTAATGGTTTGAAGAAGTCTCCTTGTGTATGGTACGAGTGTTTTCAGTTGACCTTACTCGAATTGGTTTTCATCCTCATGCTCATGACTCTTCTCTTTTTCTCTGCTATATTACTTCTGGAATGGACATTTTGTTGTTATATGTGGATGATATGATTATCACTGATTTTGACTTTGATGCTATTACTGAAATTAAGCAACATCTATTTCAGGAGTTGGAGATGAAAGATTTTGTTCTTTTGCATTATTTTTTAGATATTCTTCCCCTAAGGATTATCTATTGTTTTTTCTTTTTCTTTTTTTCTTTTTTTTTTTTGGATAGATCCTATGGGTTATCTATTGTTGCAGTCTAAGTATGCTAAACAGGTCATTCACTGTGCTAGACTCAATGATGACTAAATAGTCGATACTTCTATCGAGCTACATGCCAAATTCTATCCAACTGCTAGTGTTCCACTCGATGATCCTACTCTGTGTCATGAGTTGGTTGTTTGATTTATCTTGTTGTTACTTGTCCTGATATGACTCATGTTCATGTGATTGTTGGATAACTTGATATACATTGATGGGCCCATTTCCTAATAGCTTAAGCTGTGGAGACAATTGCTAACTTAACATGGTATTAGCGCTCAAGTTAAAAGAGGTCTAGGGTTCAAGCCTCATCGTTAGTATTTGGTATTCAGTCCCATTTGGTTTCTTCTTATTTGTTTTGTTCTCTGTTTATCTCTCTACCTGCAAAATGTGGTTGCACACGAGGGAGGGTGTTGGATACCTTGATATACATTGTTGAGCCCATTTCCTAGTAACTTCAACTTTTGGGACAATTGGTAACTTAAGAGTGGTCAGTCAATTTGTTGCTGCACCTCGCATTGATCATTGAGATGTTTTATTACGTATCTTGTGTTATATTTGTGGTACTATATTTCTAAGTTTTTTTCTCTCTTCTGCTTCCTCTTTAACTCTGCTATTACTGAGATTGTTTGGCTTCATTGACTCGTTTCCGACTTGGCGTTTCTTTGTCATCTCCAACTCTTCATTGGGATAATAAGAATGCCATCCAGATAGCTCATATATCAGTTTTCCATGAGCGCAGGAAGAGCATAGAGATTTATTGTCATTTTCTCATCAGCATCTTCAGTTGGGTACCGTTGTGCTGCCTTTTGTCTCCTCTTTGCAACTTGTGGACTTCTTCACTAAGATTCATACTTCTGCCCATTTTTTATTTTTGCTTGGCAAACTCTCAATGCTTACTGGGCTCACATCATGAGTTCGAGAGAGAGAGAGGGAGAGAGAGAGAGGTATTTTGGTCTCAAGGGTTAATTAGAGTTTTACTCTTTATTTATATGTTTCAAACTGTGCAATTGATAATCTTCTTTCCTGATTTAGGTTAATGGAATAATACGTATTCGTTTCTCAGTGATTTTGTAGCATTGACATGGGCGTCATGGTCTTGAATCTTGATAGCTACTCTATATCTTGTACCACATAAAAGTATAACCTGGTTGAACAATAGAACAGGTTATGCTTCAAAACAGGAATACATGTGTGAGCATATGTCATCCCAAATAATGCATGCATTGGTTATGGATAATTTTGCTCAGTTCATGTCAACAATTTATTGTCAGGCTGCATAATTGTGAGATTTATTTTCTCAGGAACTATTGGAACTGTACTCAATTTGCACTTTTTGTTAATATATTATTCATAACTCATCAAGAAGAAAAAAAATCTATAGCAAGAAATGCAGCTCAAAGAACATATGCACCAGATCAAAAATAAATAAATAAATAAGTAACAAAAGCAAAATGAAATAAGAAGTATCAAATTATTTGTTTTTTATTTTTAGATTTGTATGCCCATGCAACCACTCCAAGGCCAAAGAGGTTCAAACACACTTTCTCCAAAAGGGCCTTTCTTTTTTAAGGGAATTTTTTTGTTTTTTTGATAAATAAACACGTCAATTCTTTTTGAAGGAAATTCACAAGGTGGGAAACAAAAGAAATATTAAATGAACCAGGTTCTTTAGATTTTTAGCACAAACCTGATGGATTGGCCTAAATGATCTTTCGCTTTACCAAGCTCAGCAATTGCTTCAGAAGTATTGATCTTCCTTAGTCGGTTGGAATTTAACATTTCCACCCTAGCTATGTAGAGCATGTTTGCAGCAACCTGCGTTGAAGAAAGTAAGCCATAGCCTGATTTATATGTCCCATTGTATTTCTCTTGTCTGAAGGGCAGGTGGAACAAGATATGACAATGCAAACATAACAGAACCAAAATTTTCCCTTTAATATTGATAGATCTTATTTCATCTACATCTTTGAACTTCTTGATAATGGTCAAAATTTGTAGGAAATGCAAAGGTAAGTAGTGCATCAAGGTGATCTTCAGGACCAACTTAATCATATCCCTCAGTATCCCAGACGAACTGTAGGAGAGCCACCATCTCCAACTATGTCCATGTAGATCAGACCAGCAGTCCGTCCTGCTACCTAATTGGCATTGTTAGGTTAGCAGCCCATTTTTGTCTTAGTAGTCTTTTCACAGGCATGCTTTTTTTCCTTCCCAACTAAGTAAAAAGGAATTTGATATAGGGCAACATTTTAGAAACTTGAAATCAAGCAGCATACGATTGGCTTATGGTGAATTAGGGTAGCAAAAACCTAGTAGGGTTAGTCTTTAATGTGGTAGAAGAAAGTTTCTAGGGATTGTAGACTAAATGGTGTGAGATTTTATTTTATTTATTTTTGAAACAGCAAGTTGCTGAAATTTTAGAAAAAGTTGTGCTGGTAAGCTCTATCCTAGACAGAAACATAATTTATGGGTTTTGGTGTTATTCAAAGGAAAACAAATCCGGTTCCACTGTTCCCAATACCCAACTAGATTAACCACCAAAAACTTTTTCTTCAAGCAAGGCACCGAGGTCGTTAACCCTTCAAAAGTCCAGCGATTACACTCAACCACTTTAAAACCATAATACAAACACCAATGTGAAATTACCCCCCCCCTCCTTCTTCCAATTACACCTCTTTCACAGGCTCTTGTTGTACCCAATCCAGACCGAACACCGCAAAAATCATACCCGATATTTGAAATGTCACAGGGCAATGAATCAGAAGATGCAACACAGATTCTGCATCCTGACAACACAAACACCAATTTACTAAAATCTTACAAAGACGAATCAAATTACCCAAAGTCAAAATCAGACCACGCACAATCTTCCACACAAAGAACGCCACTTTGGATGGCACTTCAGTAACCCACAAACCCTGCCATGGAAAAGACATCCTAAGCCCCACTTCGGCACGATAAAAAAATGACACCGAGAAAAACTCTTTAGTCCCCTTGCAACTCCACAACAACCCATCCTCTCCCATCCCAACCTCCCAAAGCCCATACAACAAAACCATTAGATCCACCAACTAACCAACCTCCCAATCAAACACCGACCTACAAAGCCTAACATCCCACACCGCCCTCTCATCTACTAAAGACAAATAGGAGGCTACTACCTCCAGATCCTTATGTATCGCAAGCCGAAACATCAACAGGAAATGAGACGCCAAAGTCTGATCACCACACCACCAATCTTTCTGGAAATGCACTCGCTCACCCTTACCCACACAAAAACTAAGTCACCTCCAAAACTCGCCCATTCCTAGCCAAATACCTTTCCACAAACCCCCACCATGAGTAATCCTTGCTTTCCTAGATTTCGTAACCACCAACCGACATCAAAGCTGCTCTATTTCCGTACAAACCACCATAACCACTTCCCTAACAAAGCCCTATTAAAGACCACTACCTTCTGTAACCCCAACCACCCTCCTCTTTTGAACTACACACCGAATTCCAGTCCACCAAATGAAATTTAAACTCATTACCCACCCCAGCCCAAAGGAAGTCTCACTGTAATTTCTCCAACTGACAATCCACCAAAATCGAAATAACATGCACCGACATAAAATATGTAAGAATGCTCCCTAACGTACTCTTGATCAACGTCAACCTTCCTAATTTGGACAAATATTGACTCGCCCACCCCCGCCAACCAACGTTGAACCCATTCCACCACTCCATCCTACATTGAACTTGGCTTAAGCGTAGAGCCAAAGGCAAGCCCAAATATGAAACTAGCAACAGAAACTCTGCACCCAAGAATGGCCGCCAACCGATGAACACCCACCACTCTCCCCACAGGAATCAACTCGAACTTTGCCAAATTCACCCTCACACCTAAGACTACCTCAAAACATAACAAAACATAACAAAGTTACCCTAATTGACCTGTCTCAGCACCACAAAAAATAAGACCATCATCTGCATACAGCAAATAAGACACCACCAATGGCTCTTCTGCCTCCATACGTACTTTGAAACCTTCCAACAAACCTCCCTACACCGCTCTAGACAACAATCTACTCAAAGCCTTCATCGCTAAAATAAAAAGTAGAGGCAACTAGGGATCACCCTAGCATAAACCACGACAAGTCTGAAAATACCCCATTGGGGTCCCATTCACCAACACCGACATCCTAATTGGAGAAATGCAAAACCTCATAAGAAGCTTAATACTTACATATGATTCAAAAGAGATGACCCAATTGTGTGTTGTTTCCGCTATGGTGTGTTATGTGCTAGGAGGCCGAGGAAAATATGGATCATCTCTCCTTGCATTATCCTGTTACAGTACCTTATGGTGGAGAGTTTTTCATAAAACAAAAGTCAAGTGGGTAATTATCCCCTCTTGAGAGATTTTGTCTTGTATTGATTTTAGAGGTTTTGGATCAAATGGCAAGGCTCGGGTTCTCTGGAGACGTGTCACTTGCAGTTTTTTGGGTGTTATGGTTTGAGAGGACTGCTAGAGTTTTTGAGGAGAAATTTGAAGATTTGAAGAGTATCTGGAAGAAATTGGTTTATCTTGCTTCTTTTTGGGCTTCAGTTGCTCCCTCCTTTAAAGGGATTCCACTTTTTTTAAAATTTTTGGAGAATGGAAAGCTATTTGTAGAGTGTAAGAATTGATGTTAGATTTTTTCTCGTCTCCTTTTTGTTTTCGGTGGACTTCTTGTCCTCCCTCCACTGTATTTCAGCTCTTTTTAATTAATAAAATTTTCTTCTTGTTGATCAATAAAATAAAATAAAAAAAGACAGACAGAGATAAAGAAAATACTCCTTAAAACGGTGACCTCAACCACTTTAAAACCATAATACAAACACCAATGTGAAATTATGCATGTATCTGTGAACACATGAGTGTGTGTGCGAGCAAACAACCATGTATTTGTGTATGATTTGTCTACATGTCTGTGAGCCCATTGCAAGACCAGGAATGCATGGATCTGTAGGTAGATTTGCATTTATGAATTTCCATATATTGTTATGCATGCACATGAGCACATGCATATGAGAACAGAGAATCTCTGAGCTGCCTGGCAAAGATGGCAGAGATTGACAGTTTTATGTGCACATCTCACAAAAGTAAGCACCTAAGACAAACGAGAAAGCTAACTTATGTATTCGTGAAAATTTCCCCTTGGCAATCTCAACATAGCAAACCAAGTCCAGAGATGATGAGCCACATAGTTCAATTACTACCAGAAATGATATTATATTCTAGGAAAAGTACAAAAGAGGACTAGCTCAAGAATAATATGAGCAGTTTGTTTTGTTTTGTTCGAGTATGTCACTTAAAATGAGCAAACATGACGCATCAAATTAAACCTAGATTTTTTTTTTCTTTTTTATTTTTTGTTGGTGGAAAAGGTAAGAGGAAGCGATCAGCACGTGACAACCACCCATGGTCGTGAACATAGGAGCCCTTACCCACTGGGGAGCTGGACAAGAGAGGCCTAGACAGGCCCTCAAAAGCGGGGGGATACGCAGGCGCTCCTTTGAGATGAGTTGAGTTGTAGCCTAACCCCAGCCCCACCATGGAAATAGTAGCAAGGAGCCAGTAGCCCAGGATTCATAGGCACATGAGTCTTGTGCTCCCTAGTGACTGCCGATGAGACATGAATCCACGATCTCCTGTCTACCAAACCACTTGGAAGTAAGCCCTGACCACCAGGCCACCACTCTCAAGAGGCAAGTAAACCTAGACATTGACTCTTGTTACAAACAGTTAAATCAATAAAGAGTGCAAACTACAAACCTGAATATGATCTTCAAGAAGTATGGTTTTTCGGGCCTCGAGACATCTGCAGCCGTAATAATAACATATTTTTATTTGGAATGATGACTTTCTACAACTTCTTATCAATTAAACAACTATCAATTCACCTTTCCAAAAGATCTTTCGCATCCCCTAAGTTCCCTAGTGATTGAAGGGTCAAGCCAAGGGTTTCAGCTGCAATTACAGTGTCCAAAGAATCCCATCCCTGCATTTTCAAGAATAGTTTGATGTCATTCACCAACACAGAAAAATAATTAAGAAACAGTAGCACTACAAAATCATGAACATTAGGATGAAAAATAATTAATATAAATGTCATCTTGCATGTTCCTTTCAGTAGCAGAAATCATCCAAATCAATTTGAAAAAAATTCAAACAAAACAAAAGAGGTCAGCAAATACCATGTTACTACAAGTACCCAAAACACTGGCATTTATTCAAGAAATTATTCAACAAAAAGCCTTCAGGTCATCTTAGAAATCACCACAACTTACCCATATTTTCATTTGCAATGACCATTGCAAACTCCAAGATGCAAAACCTTTCACAAAATATAAGACCCATGTACCTTGTCATATCCTCCACTACTTTTACAAAAGTGACAATTGTAGTCACATCCTATGGGCATTTTGTTCATCTAGGTTGTAATAGTACATCCATAACCTCTTAGGCTGTGTTTGGGTCTTGGATTTGAGGAGGCATTTTGTGCTTTCCCCAGTTGTCAACTTTAGCAATTTTTATTTTTATTTTTCGATATTCTTCAGATTTTCCACTACCTCTCACTTTTCTCATTTCTATAACCAAGCTATATTAATGTTTCCCTTCTAACTATTGCATCTTCTGAATTTAACCCTTTACCTATCAATTTCTCTACATTCCATGTTCTAAGCAACAGAAAACTACTGTGTCCATACACATTCAGAGCATTCTAACTTTAGCTGACCAGGTATAATAAAAAATTAAAAAAAAATCAAATGTATCCCCATGCTGGGTCGAAGATGCTTCCAAGCATGTCAAAAGAGCAAGAGTGAGATAGTAACTAAAATCAACCAAGGGGCTCTAGCCTAATTGGCTAGCCCTTTGGCCATCAAGTCTCTCCTAAGGGGGTGGTCTTGGGTTCCACTCCTAGTCTGCCTCCCCCAAGTAACAGGAGGCACTACAAAAGAGGAAACTCTTGAGCAGCTAAAAGAAAGACTAAAGCCTTGATCATTTAAGCTATACAAAAATTGTACTTTCTAAGCATGTGAATTGAAAAGAAAATATATATATATATATATGTAAATACATCAGCTATGTAAAAAAATTCAACCACACAACACTAAATTTTGATAAACTAATCTATCAATAAAACCAAAATGACCTAGAGAATAAAGAAAGAAAAACAGAAACCAGTAAACCTTTGACAATTCCATAATATGCAGAATCTTTCTGTGTACATTTTCAGCCTCTGCAAGTTGATTGGACTTTAAATATATCTAGAAGAAATAGCAAGAATATTAGTAGAGTTATAAACCAAGATTAAAAGGCAGCAACCAGACAAAAGGGAGACAACATAAACAACTACACATGACATAAAGATGAAAAAAGTAATGTACATAATATCGGAATGGTCATTAAAACCATTATCCACATAAAGCATAGCACATTTTTGAGAAGTCAGGAAGATTTTGAATTACAAAAAATAAAATAAAAAATTAAAAAATAACTTTTTCATTTGTTATCATTCACAAAATTTTACACTGACAACAAATTTATTGATATTGTTGGATCAAAGCCCTGACTATGTCTTAAATAAGAATATTTTTCCTCCTGCATCATGCTCTAGAGGTAGAAATATATGTATTTGCAATTATGGCATTACAACGTTAGTTAACTCATAGAAACAATTCAATTGTTATAATGATTTGCTATAGTTTCATAGAAGAAGCTGCTATAAGCATCAAAGGCATTACAAAATCCCAGGTCAGTTGCACACATGAATATACTAATTAAAAAGAAAAGGTTCTTATGGAAAAAAAAAAAAATACCGCCAACGTGTTTAGTCTGATATTAATTTTCCAAAATTTAGTAACTAAGCCAGGAATCAACAATGACTGTGATCTGACCAAACCAATTGCCAATTTGTTTCTCCACTCACTAGTTAAAAATCAGCATTTGTTAAAAGAAATAACAAATGAAGAAATATATCCATCAGGATCATCATATATTTCAGATAGTGTCAACTATTGTACATGTAGCTGGAATTCCTACATGCATATGAGACGAGGAAAACACCATATTCTTGAATAACCATTTTACAAGTGCAGAGCATTGCAGTGTATAATACCAATTAAAATTTGTTTTAGTTGCAATCTTATCTCTTAGGACCTAGAGTCCCTCTAGTGTAGTTTGACAATCCCATAATGGCAATCACTTATTTGTGTTGTAATCCAAATTCATTTGATCTGTATGTAGCATAGCTCTTTAAGTCTTTTTTTTAGTTTTCATTTTGTGAATCCCATTCATGGACTTCAGCTGCAAGCAAGGTTGGACATCATCGGCAGAGATCCAAGCAGTCTTTGACAAGCCGACACAGGTCACACCAAAATCCAGGCTACGGATCCACCACTCAAGCAGTGGTCCAGTGGCAAATACATGCCTTCCCAGAGCCTACTTGTGAAGTATACAAGCACTGATTCACCTCTTGAGATGTGAACTGACTGCTTGAGCTGTCTAAGTCAGCAAAAAGCATGAGATAAAAAGAGGACCCATACATCATTGAGTGAACATTGACAATCTGCAAAGTTTTTTGATCATCATCTACTATTCCTTGGTGAAGTCCTTTGATGGGTTCCAAAACAATTAGAAGACCTTTGGTGAAAACAATTAGAACATTGACTGTGAAGACTTTTGGTGTCAGCAGAGGTGATCATGTCATGGATTCGGCATGTTAGAGATTGATCTTGAGATAAGCGATGAAAGTGGATTCGGCTTGAGCATCTAAAATCCAAGGAATGAGGATTCACCAGTGGATTGTAAGATATTCTTGTAATCGCTCATTTTGTATTAGTGGATAGATTTGCCAGCCTTGCCCTAAGCCTATGATTTTTCATCCAATAGAGGTGTTCACGTTAAAATCGCATGCCTCTCCTGTGTGCTTCAATTCTCTTGATTACATGTGACTGGAAGATCAAGTTATAGATTGGTTAGTCCATACTTAATTGATTCTGTGTTGAAATCACCATCAAGTGTTAGGCAAATTGCCTAGTAGATTCATAATTGAGAATCAACCTCCTAAAATAATTTCATTATCCATCTTGATCTACATAACTGGTAAACCAACCAGGCAACGAAAAACTGCCCAGAACACATTCAATGAGTCCATGGGACACTAAGACATAATATTCATCTCTGTAGTTTATATTGTTAACCCAGACCAACCTTTGCTGATTAGTAACATTACATTGGTGGTTCACGTTCACTCAAGACATGTATGACAGAGTTATCACTTTTTATTTGGTAGATAGTGGTAATATATAATATGTAAGTGGCATATAATGGGTTATGATGATGTTTGTAATATCTCCTATATAAGGAGTGTCATTTGGTCTGGTAAAATAAGAAGTTTTGAATATAACAGAAATATATTCCTTCTTCCTCATATTTTCGGAGTTCTTCTTCTTCATATTTTCTAAGTTAACATTGCATTGGTGGTTCACGTTCACTCAAGACATGTATGACACAGTTATCACTTTTTATTAGCTTGGTATCACTGGGATGAGAAACAAACAAGGTTTAATTTCTTTTAGTCGCAATGAAACGTTTCCATCAGGTGGTTTTTTTTCAGCTTAGTTGGCATGGTTTCATTAGCTAACAAATATTCAAACTTTACAACTCAGAAGTCAGATAATGACTCTCATATCTCACTGTCACATATGAAAACAATTGTAAAAGAAACTTAAACAGTAAGGCAAGTCACATACCTGTAAGTATCGTGCAACTGAAAGTATCATAAACTAGCATACACCCCTCAAGCCTATGAAGTGAGCTTTGAAAGTGATTAAGTTCAGCTCATTAAAATTGACAAGCTATGTTCTTTTGAACAAGCACGGTTCAGCTGAGGGCCAACAAAGCAGCTCAAACAAGATCATGACAAGCCAAGTACAAAATGAAGCCTGAGTCGCTTCGCTTGATTTACCACTCTACATATTGTTAACATTGTAGGTGAACTGGCAATTTAACTTTGAGGATGTGAAGTATATAGGTCTCATTATATTGAGTTAATGACAACTATAACCCAATTTCTTGTATTCATACAGAACTTTTCATCATATACATCTTACATTGGCTGATCTTGAATCAAGACCATCAGAAACTTCCTTTAAGCACAAAGTACTTAGTAACATGCATAATTGCCCACTTAGAATAACATACTTCATTTTTAGGAAGAGTTGCAACTTCTATTTTTCTAACCTGTAAGTTGGACTTGTAACTATTAGATCGTTACTAGTCCCAAAAGCATAAGTTGTTAGGAAATGCACCCAACAATGTGTATAAGGTTAACACTATCCCCATCGAGTGACCCCGTCACGCACATGGAGAGACAAACAGACTCTGAGGACAAGGTGCATGAAAACAGACAGAACAGAGTGCACATGACAGACAAAACGGGAGTGACAAGACTTGAAACCTGGATCTCCTGAAATTAAAGCTCTAATACCACGTTAGATCACTACTAGTCCCAAAGGCTTAAGCTCTTATGAAAGGGACCTGACAATGCAAATCACGCTCTCCAACTCCTTACACGTTCTTGCTTGATGAAACACTTAATTGTTTGATAAAACATTAAGAAGAGAGAATTAATGCAGCTGCTTGGTTCAAACTATCAAAAATAATGTATTACACATGAAATATATGCTCAGCAGATTCTCAGAATCTTCCTGTAGATACCAGGTAAATGGAATTATAACCTGTGCAAGATACCGCAGTCTCCTGAGGCATATGATTGATTCCCCTAGCCCACCATCCTACATAGTAATAGAATAGTAAGCAGTAAGAATAAGAGAAAAGAACTTTAGCAGTAAAAAATTCAGAGTTGTCATTGACAAAAAGACATAATGATGCACCTCGAGTATCTTAATGGAATCCTGAATAAGTGTCTCAGAATCCTTCTCTTTTCCTTGGAGATAAAGCACCTATAAGTTACATCAGAATTTTTCATAAACTCTAACATAAGTAAAGAATGAACAATAAACAGGTTTAAGAAGAAAATACTAGCAAACTGGAAAAAAGAAGATCCAACATTAAGATGGTGTTTGAACTCCATGAAATGAAAATGAAAACTCACATCTTTTCACCCAGCATATTTTTACTAGTCATAACCTCATCACATCAACCCTGATAGATATTTACTTGTCAAGCAAATTTGATTTCCTTCCATTTGTTTCATGAAAGATAATAGACACAAATAAATAAAATAACATCAACTACTAGAAACCTAAAACCAATCTCATATTGATCAATATCCTAGAGACAATAAAATTTATCAGAACAAAGCAAGCTCTAACAAGATGTTAAGCTCATTTAGAAGCATGTGAACAAATTCGTAAACAAATCTTTTGAGCTCATATTGTTTCCTAAAGCCATAATGTAACATGGAGATCTTCTGATTAGAAGTACATTTGTGCATGCAAGATGAAGGTCATAAATTATGTTTCAGAAAAAGAACTTGTGCCCTTTGGGATGAGAACAAAAGAGTACACCATGTTCTCTTTGTTAACAACCAACTTGTATAAAACCTTAAACCATTAGAACTTTAGTCATATCCTCAACTTTGAACATGCCCCCAGACGTGGCCAGGTTCCCCATCATGAGTGGGCCAAGCACATGCAAGTATAACAATTATAGGGTAAGCAGTGAGAAATATGTTCAATCTGGAATAAATTTGGAGAAAAATATGAATAAAAATGGAGGGAAAAAAGTCAGTGTTTCAATACAAAAGCCAGAAAGCCAAAGTAAGGTTTCCATGATGTCCCCCATGTAAAAGCATGAAAAATGTCACCACAGAAGAAACACCAGTCAAAATAGGACAGAGAATAAAAAATATTACTGTTCCAAGATGATACATTGTGTCCGCATAGTCTCTGTGTCCATGTCCCAAAACACACCTCTTTATCTGAATGATAATCCAAAAGTAAGAACCAAAAACAGAATTGAGATAAAACAGTCAAAATGTGTGTACCAAACAAATAAAATTATGGTATAGAATAAAACTTGATCCGTACCTTTAAAGCACGCTGCCCAAGGAATCATGAAACCAGAAGAGGAAAAGAACCAACAAGGTCAACTTTTAGAAGACGCAGTCATGTGTTGCAAATGAAAATGACAGAAAGAAAAAGGGGTGGTATATCAACATGCATACAAAAAGGAATAATTTTTAAAAAATTAAGACACACATACATAAAGATCACATCATTAAATTTAGCACAGCCCACTTCTGCCTTTAAATAATACAGTTAACAAGTTTCTATCAAAATCCACATATTAAATGTAAAAAACAATGAAGGCTGAACCAAAAAAAAAAATTCGAAGTCAAAATTTGCTGGAACCAAAAAATTGTCTGTCATAAGAACACTAGAAATGAAGAACAATCATGAACAGGAAGTCAGAAAGAAATTATTTATATATGGAAATTGTCTACTACAATTTCTAGGGACAAACAACAACTAGAAAGTAAACGCACCATATTTCTTCAATCAACGGGAACTTTTGCGATAAGGGGCTTTTCTTCTTTTTTTTTACCCCCATTTTAATCAACAGAGAGAATTGGATTCCTGAACCCAAATTACCAAAAAAGGGTTCCTAAGCCCACTGCACCCCATTAGATGCCATGCCAGGTCTCTACCACTAGTATGACAGGTTTGGCAAAAAAACATGAACCATAATTCTCCAGTGTTTTTTTTTTTTTTAAATTTTATCAGCAACAAAAGAAGAGTTTTATTAAAATAGAGAAGAACGAAAAAAGAAATACAAGGGAGGACTAGAACTCAAAGGTAAAAACCAAAAAATCTACAAATCGCAAACGGACTTCCAATCACTAGAAATCAAAAAAAGTGAAATTCCCCTAAACAGTGGGGCAACTGAAGCCCAAAAAGATGCAAGGAATCTGATTCTCTCCCACATCGAAGATATGTCAGTACTTTTGTTCCGGCGTATTGGCAATAGAAACAAAACAGTGCCAGTGTAACAGCAACAAACATCCTTTCCTCCTTCCTCAAGTCACACTAATCCATTAAGATCAAATAGCACAGCCATTAGGCCTCTTTTACCAAGTTTTCTCAACTAATTTTTCAGTTAGAGCTACATCTAACTTCTTTCGTATGCATTAATTTACAAATCCACATTTTCAGGCCACGCCTAATATTCATCGGAAAATATTTGTTCTAGATATGCTCATATTATGTACATTGTTTTCAATATCCAGCATTCTACACCACAAGGCAGCACTAAGAGATCTACTTTAAAAATAAAAATGATTTTAATATTTGCAAAGCAAGGGTTGAAGTTGGAATTATAGTAGAGGAATCAGGTAGAAAGACGATGTTGGTGTAGAGCAAGAGTATTATGCAAGAAACATAGAATATTGTACTACGATTAGTAATATGCTTACAAATCATTGTATTACTTTTTAATCTTTTATAATTGCATTTCCTTATCTTTTTTGGATAAAAAAAATAGAGTGAGTTAATCCAAAGGAGGTTCCTTGCCGAGGGAAAAGAAGTCCAAGTAACAGTTATTTTTGGAATGTACCAGCAGTGCCTGAAATGAAATTAATAAAGCGTCAACATGCATTGCCAGATATGTTACTCAAAAAATTCGGCACAATATGCCTAGCTGGTTGGAATTGAGAATATTGTGTCCTAATCATTACAATCAGTTCATGGGAAGATAAACAACAGATTAGATCACCTGCTATCACCAGTCAAAGGGAAAATCCACACTACCCACAAACGCAAGATCATTTTCCCTTATTATCTTGAAGGATGTCTCTTGCACCCCCCGAACTTCGTTCCATAGGTTCAAGCCATCGATATGCAGTTTGAATTCAATTCAAGCATAGTTGTTCCTATGTACACATTAAGACAGTCTTCACTCCTTAAATATCTAGCATCATTTAATCTCTAACATTATAGATATCCTAGTTCTAACAATCAACCTTTGGTTTGTATAAATTAATCATCCTTGCTAGATGGATGCCTACTGAAGGACTAATTATTCCTTGCAATTTAAACTCGTCAAATAACAAAACAAGAACACCATTCAAAAGAAAATAGTGCTGATTGGCAATAATTTATACTACTAAGTATAGTGAAGAACTCCAGAGAAAGGTGACAGTCTCACATTTAGCAAACAGCTATCCAGCAACACCACTGAACGTTTTTAAGCAAATCACACTTAGAATCTATGAAAACTCCTTTGTTTTTAAGTGGCAACTTAACAAAGACAACCACACTAAACTATTTGCATAAACACAGAAAACTCCCTATGGGTGTCAGGCCTTTAAATTCTAAGTACCAATCGAACCTCCAATCCCAAGGTTCTTTGGCTTAATCTACCTTTGGGACTGGATTTGATGCAGATTGATTATTAATTATTGAAATTATTAATGAGAGTGGTTTTGGGATTGTCATCCCTGATTTATTCTTCTTCATTCTTCTTCTTGGTACTACATCACCATGCTCTTCCACAACTTTTAACTTCTAGGCCGAATCAAAAACTCATGTTTCCTTTTCAATGATACTGCTATATTTATATATATATATATATATTATTCAATATTTAGACTCCATCCTACTTGACATTTGTGCCTTGGTTTCAACTTCAAAAAAGTCAAAACTGCCATCCCAGAGAGAAATTTTTAAAACAAGAACTGCACACACAGATTGCTATTTGTAGTGCTCCAACAAAACTTCAAAGCAAAGGCTCAGAGAAGACCTTTAGTATCATAAAACCCATACCACTGTCCTTGTTAAGTCCAAAATCCCACCCAATGGCTTTGTTATGACATTCAAGCTAACCTGCTAGGAATTGGCCATGGATAACAGTAAATCATTTGTCTTACTAATTATCTCTGTCATCAGAATCTTACGATTCGCGATTCGATTCGCAATTTTTGCAAAATCGATACGAATCTATGGGTGAATCTATTTTGAAAGTGAATCTCTACTGAATCGCACGATTTACAATCGATTCACGATTCGATTCACTTTTTACGATTCATGCAATTTTTGAAATTGTTGTGTACGACATATTTTCGACTCTTTTTTTCTCCATCTTTTTAGTGAAAATGGCATAATACAACTTTTAATAGCGTTTAATACCAAAATAACCATTCATGCAATTTTTGAAATTGTTGTGTACGACATATTTTCAACTCTTTTTTTCTCCATCTTTTTAGTGAAAATGGCATAATACAACTTTTAATAGCGTTTAATACCAAAATAACCATTCATGCAATTTTTGAAATTGTTGTGTACGACATATTTTCAACTCTTTTTTTCTCCATCTTTTTAGTGAAAATGGCATAATACAACTTTTAATAGCGTTTAATACCAAAATAACCATTCATGCAATTTTTAGGCTTTAAAATAAAAGATTCTAAATAATTCCTTCTTATTATTTGCTCACTGTTACTTAGAAAAGTATATATGCTTATTGTCCAAATATCAAAATTGTTGTTAATTATTGTTACTTTGGAAATTGATAGTTTGTCTATTTGGTTACTATCTTTATTAAGAATGGCCGATAAGAAATATCTAAAAAAGAAAAAAGGCAAGATGGTGATATTACATCTTTATTAAAAATGGTTGATAAGAAATATCTTAAAAAGAAAAAAGGTAATATGGTGATCTTACATAGGAACCTTTGTTAACTTCTTACCTATTAAACTACGTGATTATTATTCAAAATAACATTTTTATTGATTTAAGTCTAAATATTTTATATTCATAAGATATATTTAACATTTAAATGTGTAGATATATGTTTTAAAGTAATTTAGAAAAAGTGACCGAATCTTTACGATTCACGATTCGATTCGATTCGATTCGATTCGCGATTCGGTACAAGACCATTTCGATTCACGATACGAATCCCAATTTGACAACTATGCTAATTATATGGTTACACAATGAGTTTCTTTATTTTTTATTACCTTTCTCTTTTCAAAGTTTTAAGGCATAATATGTTATGATATCAGATATAGAAGTACTGTTCCGAAAAGGTAAGACTGCCATTTTGATAAGTTTATACCCCCGACACTCGTTAAGTTGACTAGGAGAAACTTTACCTAATATACCTGACTGAGTTAAAGACCGTAGACGGTTAGCAGACAAATGCCCTAATGTGGAATGCCATAAATAAAAAAGACTAAACAAAGAATCTAACTGAAAAGAGGAAAAGGTCGTCGGAGAGGCAGTCATAGGCAGATGCAAACTCTCCACCACACAGAGGTCTCCAATTCTACAGCTAGTCCTAATCTGCCGCTTGGACATCCGATCCTACACAGAAAAGATAGAAGAAGAAAAGATAATATCAAAATCGAAGGTATTAAGCTGACTATTAGATAATAAACTGACAGATAACTAAGAAACATATAAGACAGATGGAATAGAGACAGCAGACATAGCAGACGGTAAGACAGACCCAACAGATATAACAGACATACCAGACCCATTAGTAGCATTAACAGTGATAGGAAAGGGAGAAAGAGTACAATTTTGTAGTAAGGAGAGATGAGGAGTCATATGATGAGAGGCACCAGAGTCAAAAATCCAGATAGACGAAGAGATACCTGAAAAAGACCCAAGCAAACCTAAATGAAAAAAGGAAACAACTAAGGCAGACGGGGAGGGCTGGAAGGTAGACAATATATGCTGAAGATGAACAATCAAAGTGCTCAAGGAAGCCAAGTCAGGATCAAGGACCGGGATGGATGCAGTATAAGCAGTGGGAGCTCGAAAATTACTTGGAGGAGAAGGGCAAAACTAGGTCTAAGACTGCTGAGAAGACGAGGCAGACAGACATCCCTTCTTGGGACAGTGATACTTCCAATGACCCTTCTGATGGCAGAAGCCACACTCATCTAAAGCCAATGACCTATTTTCGGGCCTAACAATCTTATCATCCCACACTGCTTGCAATTTATCATCAGTCATTGTGACAAATTTAGGACAAACACAAATATTATAAAGTAATATATTCCAATCAACCCAACAGACTAATATTCCCCAATATAGTAGTCAACAATACTTCTGACCAGAACAAGACAAACCGGTGAACTATAAAACAGAGGGCTGAAGCCAAAGAGAGAAAAGACAAACCACACAAAGAGAGAACAGCACAATTTTGGGTGTCGCACGCCTATGTGAGACACGCAACCTAGGTCTCCGGCTAAATAAGAGACCACCGATGAAGGCTTCCTAAGGCTTTTGGGTGTCACACGCTTGTGTGAGACAAGCAACCTAGGTCTCTGACTGAACAAGGGACCAGCAATGAAGAATTCCTAGGACTCCGACTGGACCATAACTAGAACCAGCAACCAGGAAGTGCGAATCGAACTGCTTCAAAGTGTGAAGAAGAGAACCCCAATGAAGGCCTTGCAACGACCTTGCGAAGAGAGAGAAACAGTTGCAACGACCTTGCAAAGAGAGAAAGGACTGCGATGGTCGATGATGACCTGTGATAGGGATTCTAGCTCCCAATTGTGGCTCTGATATCATGTAAGTTTTCTGAATGTTTTTCTGTATATTCAATTGTGTACTAATACAAAGAATACAACTGATTATATAGTAAACCTAACCCTAAGACTAAAAAAGGAAACACTACCATATATATACACCTAAAACACTGCCATATATATACACCTATACAATCTCTCAGAAAAGGAAACACTGCCATATATATAAACCTAACCTAATATTCTCACAGTCCAATACACAGTTTAACTATTGTAGCCTGTTTATGCAGCAATCAATCGTTGTACATTGACCATGTTTTATATGGTCTATTTACCTCACATGCCTAACTGATTTTCTAATAGAATTGTTTCATGGTTAAAACTCACTTTATTAAACTTACGAAGTGTACTCTCAAGTTTATTACCAAAAATTGATGTGGCACCAAACAGATTAACTCAATTCTTGTGCAAGGCACTAGAATGCTCTTCCCTATTCCTCTAGCTTTCTTGGACTGCATAACATTGTTGAAAATTTGCACCAACTAACTAGTAACATCTACTCACATGCCCTTCCAAAAACAACCCATTAAGTAAAAAAAAAGTCTTATAGTTTCTAATATTTCATTTTGTTCAAAATTTCTGTAACTTTAAATGCCCTAATTCGTCAAAACAATCTGTGATTCAAACCATGGGAGATATCCAGCTTTTCATACACATAAGTGCCATATTTTTTCCTGCGACATAATTTTGGAAATACTTCTCCATAGTTCCTCAATATCCTCTTGATGTAGCCTGCCCTACAATCAAATATAATACGCGAGGACTTTATATTAAGGTTTAATTGTTCAGAAGTTGGGTTTACGGTTTTGAGGATGGAATAGTGGTTAATGATTAAGATTTGAGGCTGTTTTGGATCTAAAATTTAAGGAGATAACCCGCTGAATTTTATGGGCCACAGGGAAAATTCGGGTTTTCTGGACAGCTTGAGGGCAGGAATCTAGGGTAACTGAGTTCAGGGTTTAAAATAAGGTCTTAGGATTTTGCAGTTTCATAAAGAAAGGCAGTATATAGCAGTTTGTTGGTGCAGAGGCTTGCTGGATTCAATCAAATACGAATAACAACAACAACAAAGAGAATAACTCTATAGAGAAACGTCACTAATCAACCTATCTAATTATCTTCACAAAGTTTTACTTATATATAGAATAGAAGCACAATACCTTTCCCACTAACAAAAGGATTCCCTAAACCCTACTAACCAAAATTTGGTCAACTACTTCAAGACATGCATGGGACTTAAGCAAAACTCATAACAAACACCTTAAGAACATAGAAAACAAAGATATAAATTACAAAAATACCCCTAATTTGAGAAATCACGCAGATTTTTCTAACAGGAAAGTTCTGGTTCCATTACTAATTAGACGGTATTAGAGCCATCTGGCTTCACCCAGACACAGGAGTAGTTTTTGCTGGAAATTTGTGTTAATGCATATAATATGATAGTGGTGTTGGTAGTAGATAGTGGCATATATAGAATATGATAGTGGTGTTGGTGGTAGATAGTGGCATGTATAGAATATGATAGTGGTGTTGGTGGTAGATAGTGGTAATATATAATATGTAAGTGGCATATAATGGGTTATAATGATGTTTGTAATATCTCCTATATAAGGAGTGTCATTTGGTCTTGTAAAATAAGAAGTTTTGAATATAACAGAAATATATTCCTTCTTCCTCATATTTTCGGAGTTCTTCTTCTTCATATTTTCTAAGTGTTTTCAGTCATTTTATACCAATTGTAGGACCCATATTCTTTCATTTTTAAGCATACACTTTAAAAGGTGGATCCCTATAGTCTATCCTATCCATACACTGTTCCATCTTCACCATACACATCTCATCTAAAACTCGATAATCCAATTTGCTCACTAGATGACATCGAGTTTGGTGTAATTTATGTTATGTACTTTTTTCATGTAAAATATAGATATTTAAGGGTGCATCTTGCATTAGCATTCATAGAGGATGGTATCTTTAATTTAGTCCTCTAATAAAGAACTTGTTCTTCTGTTACTTAATTGTTCTTCCCTATTGAAACAATCTTGCTCACATAATATAATACCAAGATTAACAACAATAGAAGAGCAATGAGATAGGAATTTTATTTATGTGACTCATATTATAGGCAACTCAAAGCATCTCCACAAGAAGTGAATTCCCCTTCTACCACTACTTGAATTATTGCCATTTAAAATTATTCGGGCATTAAGTAAATCCCCAATCTTCAAAAAAAAAAAAAAAAAAAAAAAAACCCAACAAATTAGTATACTATATAAATTCTCCTTTTGAGGCAAAATAATTCAACTGGAGGTATTGGGCAAACTCTTTTGTAACCACTATGGTTGTTCAACAAACTGAATCACCAGAAAAAACCATCCGATCTGATCCGAACATATTGATTTTGGATGGTTTTGAAAGTATGCAACGGTCGGCACGGTTTGATTATACAGGAAATATCAGTTTGACGGTCGGCTTGCAGTTCTCTTTGTAAATTAACTGACCGAAAATATAGACAACTAATCATGCTAATCAAACATGGCCAAATAGAATGCAACACAAGAAATAACAGAATCCAAATATGGATGTGTAATTACCTCATAGCACATACGAGCTTCTTCCAATTTTCGCTGGACAAGATAGAATTGACCTAGGTTGTGAAGGGCAGCCCCTACCCTGTATGGTAACAAGTTACAGACTCAATTGATTAAAATGTATAAACTTTGAAAATGATAAGAAGCTAGTTAAATATCCAGTCAAGTCCAAATTGTCCAATCAATTTGTAGAAGATAAGTTATTTGACTAATCATATACTTAACACTAAAGTAAAAACCTAAAAGAACCACAATCTACACAAAAGTTAGGGGGAGGGGGGAGCATATACTTAACACTAAAGTAAAAACCTAAAAGAACCACAATCTACACAAAAGTTAGGGGGAGGGGGGAGACGAAGAAGAAGAAGAGAAAAAAAAAAAAGAGAGGTGAATTTGAGTTGATTAAAGTGTGGGGTTGGCATTTTTCTCTTTAGTTTACTTTTTATAAGTTTTTCAAAATGCTTTACACTTTTAGGTTCTACTCTAGGAAGCACAGACACGGATACAATACAATGCGGACACGGCGATACAACGAAACTTTAAAAAGTAGGATAAGGGTACAGCTAAGATACGTTTGTAAAAAAAAAAAAAAATTTTTTGCTGCCTTGGTACAGACAAACTCTCCTCCTCCATGCAATTGGTAACATGTGCCATCATTGTGCTAAAATTTCGAATAAAGCACCTATAGAATGTTGCCAATCCATGAAAACTACAACCTTCTTGCAAGGTAGCAGGAATTGACCTCTCTATACTAGTTTTGACTTTGTTTGGATTAGCCAGAGATAACAAAGCCCAAAAACACAACACTTGGACTCATGAAGGAACAATTCCTCAAATTTATGTAGAGTTTTCTTGGCAAAGAACTCTCATAACCTGCGTCATAAAACGTACAAATGTGCTAGGAGCATTGAAAAGGACAAATGGCATAATTAACCACTCATAGAGACCATCCTTCGTCTTGAAGGAAGTCTTCCACTCATCTTCGGGTTATGAAGCACGGACCTCTCCGGAAGTCACATAAAGGTGTCCAACACGTGTTGGAAACTAACACGCGCCGGACACGTGTCAGACACTCTGGAGAGAGTCGGACATGCTGCGACACTTGGGACATGCTAGGAACACACTATGGACACATTGCAAACACACTGAGAACAATCTAGAGACGCTAAGGACCATTTACTAAACAAAAATTAAAATTTTTAAATTTTTTTACTAAAATAGCATACTAAGGTTGATGAATTTGATTAAATATAAAATATTTTAAAATGTCATATAATAAATATATAAAACCATATGTTTCCCACATATCCCCAACGTGTTATGTTCTGCACGTTTTGAAAATTTGCATGTCCATGTCGTGTTTGTGTCCATGCTCCTTAGTCTCCAAGCCTCGTGCGTATTTGATGGTAACCACTCTTCAAATCTATCTTTGAAAAGATAGTAGAATCAATTATTACGTCCCACTTATCATCAAGCTAAGGAATTGGAAATCGATATTTGATATTTATTTTGTAGATAGCTTGACTATCGAGACACATGCTCCACGTGCCATCTTTCTTTGGTGTGATCCAAGGCAAGATCAGTACAAGACTCAGACTTTAGCAAATAAATCCTTTTGACAGCAACTCATCCACTTGCCTTTTTAGCTCAGCATGTTCACTAGGATTCATCCCATAGGCTGGAAGATTGGACAATTGAGCTCTAGGGACAAGATCTATTTTGTGTTGCACACAACGCATGGGAGGAAGCTCATTAAGCAGCTCTTCTAGTGCTACATCAGAAAATTCAGACAATAACTTTCAACCTCTAAAGGCCTTTTTTACTTAGGACCAGCAAGTAGTTGCTTGCTTCACTTCTTGAATCACTATAGCATAGATAAGCTTCGATTCTTTGCTTTCCACTTCAACTTGCATTTTAGAGAGTATGCAGTGAGGTTTCTTATGCATTTCAACAACACTCTTTGGCTTTGGAGCTCATATCTTTTCATCTTTGCTATAGTCATAGGATGTAAGACATTTGTCTTCTTTCCAAAGTGAGAAAGTATATGTATTTTCTCTACCATTGTGTTGCACAATTTGATCATAAAGTGACGGTCGATCAAGAAGTATGTGAGTGACGTTCATAAAAATTACATCACATAAAATAGAATAAGTGCTGAGTTGCCAGAATAGAAGTGCTATCAATCCAAGCTACCTTGTAAGATGAGGATGTGGCTCAACTAGAAGCTTAAGCCGTTCAATTGTGGATGTAGAGACGACATTCATACAATTTCCACAATCAATAACAAGTTTTTTTTAGTTGATTTCCACAACATATCAGAATTTGAAAGATTGATGTTTGTTTCCACAACATTAAGAGACTAAGTTTCCAATTCGTCTTCCCCCAAATCATCAAATCTGCCATCTCCATAATTCAATGCATCCTCTTCATTTGTGATTGGCCCTATTCTAGTAGTTGCTCTGTGTCTTCTTCCATTGCAACATGGAGGGTATTCTTCTTTTTACAATGATAAGCCATTGTCCAGACTCACCACACTTGGAACAAGTAATGCTTTTATCCCTTCCTCTTGGCTTCACTTATTTTTAAAATTAACTACATTAAAAAATGTGAAGAAGTAACGCCATATACCACTTATTAGGATAGGATATTAACTGTTATATATATATATATTAACACATTCCATCAAACTACATGCCAGTCAAATTCAAAACTACATGTAAGTCCAATTCAACAGGGATTGATGTATAAAATTAAGCAACACAACTATTGGACAGTCCAAACAATTAAAGTTTTTTCACAGCCTGCATAGAAATCATGTTGTACCGTATATCTTCTGGTCCAAATGACTCTTCAAGTATTTTCACAGCCTCCAAATACAAGGGTTCTGCTTTATCAAATGCCTTTTTAACTCTATACAGCTCTGCCTGCAACATCAATTAAAGAAAATAACTTCTTATATGAAACTACATCCAGAAAAAGATCAACCTGCACACCTTCTTTCCTTAAAAAATATTTTTATCTTTCTACTAAGAAACAGACCTTTCATTGATAAATAAGACAAAAGAAGACTTCCAGACAATGTTTTGAAAACTAGACCAGATCGGCTGGTTCAACCGGTTGAACTGTTGACCTGTCTTGGTTCCAGTCAGCATCAACCATGAAACCCGCTTGCTCTCAAGAAACACCGTATTTTGTGAAAACTGCTTAAATCAGCAGTTGAACTGGTGACTCGCTCAAACCGGAGGCAGTTTGTTACAACCAGCTGGTTCATGGCATGTATTTATGAATATATCACATACTACTAAAAAAGGTACACACAAAAGGGAATCGAACCAGCAACATGAAGCAGAAAGTGCCTAGTCTTGCACGACTAGACTATCCTTCTATATGTTAAATATTATGCAATTTATATTATCTATTCATTCCTTTTTACTTACAAACCAATACATATCTGGAGAAAAACGCATGAAATATTTGAAAATATTGAATTAAAAATAAATTCATAATACAAAATGTATATATATTAAAATAGATTATTTCTTTATGTATTAACATATTAATTACATAAACAATATATATTAAAAATATATTAAATTATTTATTTATATTTATAATGTCACAATTCAATTCTGATTGACCCAAAGGTTGAACCAATGACCCGTGACCCAGTCATTTTTCCAGTTTGCTCAACAGTCAGGATTTTAGAACATTGCTTTTGCTTTCATCCAGACATTAAAAAAGCGCAAAACAATCACAAAGTCATGACTGATTAACGGGTTAAAATGATCCCCAAACTCTACTAACAAAGTAGTTGCATGCTCAGCAAGGAAATCTATCTACCGGGTTAACAGACCCATGATCTCAATTAATTAAAGAATCTACATGGTGATAGATCTCAATGAACTATTACACAAACATGCTTCCAAGAACCTCAAAATTTATGTCCCGCCAAAATTTTTTTTCCCCCTTTTTGCCTTCAGCAAGCAAAGATCCACTAAAAAGCTAGATGACACATCTATTCCGTTGCTCAATAAATTTGATCAGCTTTGGAAGCCTAAAGCAAAAGTTATGGGTCCCAAAATCATCAAGAAATCTTTTGGTCCAAAGCGAAGCATCCATTGTAGTGTTTATCGTTTTACTTACATTTATTCTAAACTAGTATGCTGTTGGACTTTTTAAATTATGATTTTATTTTTATTTTTTTTTATTTTAGGAGCTGAGAGTATTTTGGTACTTTCTGAATTTGTTGGACCTAGGTTCTAATACGGATCCGGTTTTGGGTCAAGTAATTAAATGGGTCATTATATATAGGTTTTACTATGTAAAGAATGTCTTAGCACTTAAAAGGGTCGAAGTTTCCTATTTTAAAGTCATAGTCAAAGTTGGAGACTTGGAGTGTGTTTAGACACAAACCTACATAAACCTATGGAATTCTTCTAATCAATGGAATCGAGTTTATGCAAATTGAGATTGTACGTGTGTAAATTTGCCTAACCCATGCGAGGGTAAAGCATTTCTATCCTCCTTATTTCTTTCATGTGATTTTTACGGCATCCAATACTCTGCATCAAGATTTTAAAACTACTGTTTTCAACCCTAAAATCATCCCTTAGCCAACTCAAAAGCAAAGAAAACTTCAATGATTAGCCATCGACGCCTTGAGTTAAGACAAAGTTCAATTAAAATTCCCTAGTACTCTCCAATTTGCTGATTAAGGCTATCGAGCAATTTAAAGAGATTATGAGGAAATCCAAAATTTGGGGTAAGATTATTGGCAGAAGAAGTTTAGCCCACATCCACCCATTCTTCCTTGTCTTTTTTTTTTTTTCTTGCTTTTATTTTTTTCTGGGTTAACCTATTCACATTCATTGGGCTTCCACAAAAAGTCGTATGAACTTCAACTTATTCATTTACATTTGGTTCAATCATTACCAATGTATAACCAGAATCCATGACCTTGCAGGAAATAAGTATGATGCAATGCATAAATTGAAATGCAACAAATGAACTAAACAGAAAAAACAATCCCCATCCTAATCAATTGCACCAACACCAAAGCAATTTGTAAAAACATAGATTGCAAACCATATCTCCCAATGCATGCAACTGGAAGGGATACTGTAACTCAACAAATTTGACACTCGAGACGGGACCAATCACCTCAAATCAAGTAGGAAAATGATTTCAACCTTGGTCAACCACATAGTTCATGCCTAAACATTGAGGCAAGAGTTCAAGTTCTTTAGAAAGATTTCTCCCAGCACCAGTTCCATACTCAGTCATAAGCCAGTAATTACATCGCTAAAGGAGTTGCTTTAAAAATGGAGATACTTTTTGCATGAGATCATTCATTGATCAAATTTTAATTCAAGAAATACCTATTAATTAACTACTCAATTAAATGCTCTTCTAAATGTTTGGGTTGCCTTACATAGTTCTAACTAACACAGGTCTAGGCCCAACTTTTATTTAAAGGTGTATATATACAAAACAGAGAAAACCAAAAACAACTAACTAAACTAACAAACTTGATTAGACTATTTAAAGCATCTCTGCAGTAGACCCACCAAATTGTTGTACGCTGCGGCAACATGTGGATCCCTTCCACCAAATCCTTCTTTTGCTTCTTGTAATGCAGACAGAAAGAGTTTTTCAGCTTCCTCCAGTTTTCCCTAAAAAAGTTATGACAAAATGACAAATTCATAAGCGAAGACAACTATTTAGAATGGCCTAAAAAGCACAGATACAAACATAGGCCACAAATATGCCGCCAAAACAACAATTTTCAAAAGGCAAGATTCAGTCATGTCAAGGTCATTGCAACAAACAAATCCTACATATATGGAAATCAAAAATAATAATCCATTTTTACACAACTAATAAATTTATTATAATTAAAAATAATAATGGACAATCCATTTTCTTTGTTTATAGAAAGCCCTGGTTTCTTACTTTTAGAACTCTTATGCATTCACAAACAAATTGGGAGTTGTAAGCATTTAGGGTTTCATTTCAAATATTAAAAAGCTTAGAGGGATTAATATGCAAAAATCCATACTTGTTCATTTATTTTAATCTTTGGTCCCCATTTTATTTCTTCAAATTTGTGCCCAGTCCCTAGTGCACATGTCTCGGTGATGACACGTGTCTTCCACAAAGGTCCAAAGTGTCTGGTTTTTTACAAAATTAAAAGATAATAGGGCACATTTGGATGCATGTCCTACATGTCCAATAAGTGTCAATGTCCAACACATGTTGGACGTGTACACGTCAACCTAACAAAAGTGTTTGTGCTTCCAAGGGAATGACAAAAGACCACATAAGATATCAAATAAAAAAAAGTTACCTGCAAAAATAAATCCCTCCCATTATCAGTAAAAACTCTCCACTTGGATGTATGTATATTTGATATCACAGACCCATCCTCAATTTTGCGCAAGCCAGTTAAATTATCCCCTTGTATGCTGTTTTCAGAACTTAGTTCTGTTGAAACGTCTTCTGCCATGACAATGCTGGAATTTATGCCAAGAATTACTGTAGCAAAAAATAAATTAAGATAAATGGATTAAACGATGTATGATTAACAAAAGGACGAATCATAAATATCTTCTTCTTTTATTGTAAGTAACATTTTAAAAATGAATCTCTAATTTAATGTGATTGCGTGAGCCCAATGTCAAACTGGTGTACTTTCAGAAAGAGAAATAAATATATGCATAGCTAATGCAACAAAATAATTATAATTTTAAAAAATTACATAACTACATATGATCCACACACCCATAGATGAGGCAAATCATAATACACAATATCCTAATCAAATACTAGGGACAGTTTTGCAAAAACTATTTTACTTATAATAAAATTGCCAGTAATTCACAAATGAATGACTGGATTTTTTTATTTATTTATTTTTAAATAGCTAAGCACCACAAGTGTCTGTGTCAAACACCGGCAATCCTCCGACATGCCCCAACATATGTCTGACATGCATTTAAATGTATCCTAATGTATCCTATTATTTTTTTTAGGGAAACAAAAAAAATAGTGTTTGACCCTTGTAAGTTGTAACAAATTGAACCTTCAATTTTTAATTTCTTCAATTTAAACCCTCCACTTTTAAATTAGTCTCAATCCCAACTATCCATCCAGATCTATTACATTGTCTAACAGGAAAAAAAAAAAAAAATTAAATACACATGGACTACCTTTATTTGTTCATTTAACTTGATATAAATTCTCAGTTTGAACCTACTTACACCAAATCTAAAACTTACCTTATCAAAAATTCCACCACATCAAGACCATAGATCATAAATTTTACCATACACCTTATCACATTTGAACATGCCCATCTATCCCTCTCTCTCCACCTGCATCTCTACTTTCACGTTCACCTCCATTGTAGCCCCACCACTCCTCACCACAAACCACGGCACCCACCAGAACTAATATAAATCTTGTTAAGCCTAGAAAGAACTATTATATGCCAAATAATTAATATGATTGGTACTATAAAACTTCAAACACAAGGCATGTATTCATGACAAGCAGAACGCCTCATAACATTGAACCAGTGACAAGCAAAACAGTCACAGAACTTAAACCAGTAACCTGCAGGAAGGACAAAGTTCGCATATTGTCCTTACTGCTGAGTTTGAGGTTGTTCACTTGCAGCACTGATTTTTTGAGGGACTGGTGGCAAATTAGGACGGAGGGTTGGTGGACTAAGGGAAGGGGTGGTGCGGAAGGGCGGGGAGTGGTGGATCTAAGGAAGGGGGTGATGGAGGATGGTGGATTTGTGAAAGGGGGCAACGGGAAAGGGCGAGGAGTGGTGGATCTGAGGCAGGGGGTGGAGGAGGGTGATGAATCTGAGGAAGGGGATCATGGGGCGAGGAGTGGTGGATCTGAAGAATGGGATTGTAGGAGAGGGCGGAGAATGGTGGATGTAAGGAAGGGGATCGTAGGAGGGGATGGTGGGGTAAAGAGTGTGATACAAGTAGAGAATTAGTTAGTTGATGAGTAAGAAGAGTTATGATACAAGAAGAGAATTACTTGATGAGTAAGCAAGAATTAGTTATAAGAGTTACTTGAGTTGATAAAGTTAGTAGTTAGTTAGTGAATGAGTGGAATTCGTTACAGATAGTATAAGAAGGTACAATGAGTACCAAATTGCATGGAATTTATGTGATAATTGATTTGTTCTCTCTTTGTTATCTCTCTCTCTTCTCTCTGTTTCTATTTTCTCTGTTAAGTACTTTTGGTGTGCATCAAGTGGTATTAGAGCAGTAGATTCTCAGACCTGTGGAGGTATCACAGCCATGGTAGGAGGGGCTGGATCTCAAGAAATCAGAACAGCTAATGATTTCAAGTTTGCAAAAATCTAGATCTTGAAGAATTTGGATGAAGAGGCAATGAAAAAACTCAGAAAACTGAGGCAATTATCAAATGTTAGGATTTACAAAAGAAGGTTTTAAGAAATAGTTGACACAACCAAGAATGTGCCTGAAGAATTCTTAATATAGTGCTTCATCAACAGACTTACAGATGAAATCAAGGCTGGTGTGCAAAGGTTCCAACCCTACATGGTGGATCAAACCATTGGTTTAGCTTTACTACAAGAGATGAACATTTGGAGCGCCAACTCTGAGATCAAATCTCATTGTGAGAATTTGATTTTTTATGGAAGTGCTGGTAATTAAATATCTAATTCTAAGACAGATCTTGATTTTCAATGTGATCCAAATATGCATTGCAAGGAATCAAAGGAATTAGAAGAGGATGTTTTAAGTTGGAATGATGAAGATAGTGATTATGAAGAAGTGATGATTCAAAAGCAGTAGCTAAAAACAAGAAAATTATGATCCATTTGATGATGTATTGAAGCCTGATGAAGATTATGACAGAAAGAATGATTGTATCAAGTATACTCTGTATGAGAATCTTATGATGGACAAAAGTCTTTGAATGGAGGGATTTCTTGCAACAGCAGTGACAACAGTTCAGACGATCACTCTTATGCAAATGAGAAGAATGTCATGGTGGTAGAATTGAGAAAATTAAATGCAGATGTTCCATATCAGGGTATGAAAACTAACTTTCTTTTCCATTTAGAGACTGCATCTAAAGAGAAGATTCCTAAATCTGACAATTCATCAGTGTAAAATGACAAATGTTCTAGTATCATTGAATTGGGAATTAAAGAGAGAAAAAAAAAATCAGATGTCAGGGATTTCACCAGATTTGTTGGCTATGGGATATAAAATGGCTTTTATAACATATACGAATTCAACAATTTCTTCAGTTACAGTGGGTTTTGCAGCACAGTATGATGAAGAATCAATTAATGTTATTGTCAAAGAACTAACGAATTATATCCCAAGATCAACTATCAATAGAAGCGCAATATCATAAGCCAAAAAGTACAACGAGAGAAGCCTACCAGCTTGTCCAGATAAAAAAATCCACAGATAAAACTCCCTATGTTGCCTCTTCCAAGTATGTCCAAGACCATATTGATAGGAAAGCTCCATTTTACCTAGAAACAACACCAAGTAGGTTTGAGGAAACCAGATAATATCCAAAAAAGAATAAACACATAAAATGTTGTTTCAGTTAATCTAGATAATACTTTTTAATTTTATTGGAAATTTACATAATTTCTGCAATTAAAATATTTTTGGTTTTGACAGCTATGAGGATGTATGCAGTATGCACAATGGATAGATACATTAGTCATCAAAGTCATCAAAGAAAATTACAATTTTAACATCACTAGCTAAAACATAACAGTGGAACTTGGCAAACTCAATTGTAACAGAATTCTAGAATGACTAAACCCGAACCAAAAAAAAATAAAGATAAAACTCATGAATACACCAAATCAGCCAGGAATTGTAGCACTCTAATAAATCCTGCTAAGAAATAAATAACAATATAACAATGATGCGAGAAAATGGTAACGAGTATAAGAAATTTAATATAATTGCCAAGAATGCATGGAAGCAAAGATGGATTGGTTGATCTCCAGAAGCTCAAAGGGGTGCAGATTGGAATATTACCACATATCGGCCACAGATACTGGGAGTGGATGTTTGGTATTCTTGGAGAAGGTGACAGCAATTGGATCCATTCTGTGAGACTTATAACACCCATAGATGTCTTTAACCCTAGACTAAAAATTGATAGCAAAAAAGATAACTTTTATGAATTAGATAGTTGAAAGCAACGTTCGCTTTCTAAGGAGAACTCAAACTCCAAGAATCATCTGAATTTTCAAGGTCATTAAAATTCACACCCACAACCTCGCTGATTACAGATAATCAAGTCATTGGCTTCAGGACCCAGACAGTATGAGTTTGCATTACTAACTTGGTATGGTTCATTAACCTAGCATTCATATGGTTCGACCCTCTTACATACAATATTGTTACAATTTGTGTCCAATGTACAAGTTTACATCATTCACAAATCAAGCTACAGACAGACAAAACATATTTCACATCATGTGAATACCTAGCTGGTGGTTTATGCGGTGCTATTCTTTTACCAAATTTAAGGATATAATCAAATTCATATGTTTCTGAATAGGAAGAATCCCAATTTAATTTATGAGCAACATATATCAGAATTTTGTCTAATACAAGACACAAAAGGCCAAAGATTTGATGAATTCGAACTTTCGGATGACATGGGATTACCAGTTTCGATCAGTGCATTGGTTGTTCTACCGCAAAAAGTGGCAGTGAGTGTTTGAGGAGGAGGACGGAGTCTTCTGAGCAAAGCAAGTGCTGCTTGCCGGAGAGACATAGCTGTCGGCCCTCAACGGAGTGGGGGGATATGGCCCTTCACTGGAGTCTAATTCTTGCGAGGAGCATGCATTGATCATTTTTTTATTTCATTAAAACCCTAAACCCTCTTTCTTTCTTTTTTCTTTACTTTTTTTTTCTTTTTCTTTTTAACAAGGTTTTTAGTTTAATATCCTGTAATATTTTTATAATAATTGGATCCCTCAAGATCTTTACAAATAAATTTTGACATAGGAAAATTTTAATATAGAGTCAAAGAAATTTTAACTTTTAAAGAGAAATTTTAAAAATTTCACAGAAAAATTTAAAATTTTTCTATGACGATATAAAATTTCTCTAATAATATTATTGAAAGGCCTTAATTTATAAGAAAAAAATATATTAAACATCTTTTATTATAAAAAGTTAAAAAATGATATTTCACTAATTTTCACTCAAAGAAATAAGTGACACTATGGGTTAATAATTATTTACGTGTTTGGGATTTTTTTTTTTAAATAAATAAATATTTTATACAAAAACATACCAAAAAAAATATAAATAATTATTTCATAATGGAAAATGATATAAGTTCAATTTTTAGACTTGCTTTATAAACCTAATGATGTATAAGAGAGATGATTAATTACTAAGGTTTATTTTGAAAAGTATGTCAAAAGTCAATTTTTTAAGTTTTTTTAGCTTTTTTTTTTAAAATATACAAAAAAGTATAGAGATGATATGACTCAAAAAAATCAAAAAATCAAAAAACTTACTTTTATCTCAAATGTCAAAATATGCCTAATTAAAAAATATATGACAGATAAAATTATTTTAGATATTTTAATTAATTATCCCATTATTTAATTTAAAAAACCAATCTAATTTTTAAATTTGAATTTGAAATTATTTTTTAATTTTTTAACTAAAATTTGGCAACTCAAAAATAATTCAAAAAAATCAAAAAGTTACATAAAAAGTAAAAAAGACATTACTATTCACAAATAAAAAATATTAAAAAAATATTTTATATATTACAATACTACAAATGGACTAAGCAGCTGTTCTCAGTCGTACTTGTGATAGCGACAGGCATTATATGTAAAGTAACATAAATGTTGGAGCCATGGGGGCCCATTAAGGACTCCCTTTTGATAATCCGAACCGTAACATGTAGAACTCGTCGATTAATATATTTCTGTAAAAAATCACATTGATCGGATATCGTTAACTATATGATCAAATCAATTTTGTATAAACAAAACGGATGGTGTGATTGTCAACTATTGAAAAAAAACTAATTTGATTATATAGCTATCTATATCCGATCAATGTGATTTTTTACAGACATATAATACTCGACGAGTTGTACATATTGAACGGTTCAGATTATTAAAATGGGACCCATGATGGCCCTCACGGACCGACCATCACTGTCCAAACACTTTGCCCCGAAGGAGACAATTATTTTCTTTGTAAAACTTGCTTGGCACAGCTGGGCAGCCGTACTGTCCAATCACCTTTCTTCCACTATACATTTTATTTATACAATTTTTTATTACATATTTTTTTCGTAAAAAGACAAAAAGATTAACCCAAATATTCATATTTTTTTTCTCAACTTTTTAATTTAAAAAGACAAAAAATACACTTATTTAAGACACCCTAAACAACATTCTCAAGCCAAACTCTCCCATTTTGCCGTAAGTTTACAAAAATTTCACTTGAAAGATGAAAGCCACTTCAACGAAGGACCCACTATCAAAAAATAAAAGGTAAATTACAAACACACCTCCTCATATTTACTTAAATTATAAATTATTTCTGTAATTTTAAAAATTACATTATACCCCATAAGGTTTATAATTTCATAACAAATAGGTTTTTTTATTAATAAATTATCAAATTAATTAACAGTTTTTAATAATGTTAAAATTTTATTTCAATTAATAATTCAAATAATTTTATTATTGTATAGGTAAACAGTTAGAAATTTTATTTTTTCAATTAATTATGTTAAATAAAAAATTCTAACAGGGAGGTATTAGTAAGTTTTCAAACCACAAGGGACAATTCGTATTTTAAGCTAATCTCAAAGAGTGTATTTGTAATTTATCCAAAAATAAATAAATAAATATTGTCCATCAATCAATTAGGCGCGTTTGTTTTTTTTAGAACAAAGAAAATAGTATTATTAAACAAAACAACAACATATAAAGGAAGTGCCACCAGTATAACAAAATCTATAACATATATAAAAAGAAGGTAAGAGTGGTATAACGTATGGTGTAACACTGGTGTTTCTCATGTAAGTCTGTTGCTTCTTTGTTTGCAAAGCAGATTTGGGCTGGCTATGTGGCCTTCAATTTAGCCACACATACGACAGTAGAAACAATGAGTTGTCTTCAGAGTGTGTTCCTTCCATCCTGATCCTGCTGATCGCCTAACCAACCAAAGCCCACCGTCTATCCCTCTTATAAGTTTCTTGTGTGCTAAGAAGAAAGTGGTGCTCTTTGTTTGCTTGTTCAGCTGATCTCACCCTTGGTTGCCTTCACATTTGTTTGCACTAGTGTGAATTTCAATGGCTTCTACAAGCTTTCTCTGTTCGGTGTACCTCGATTTTATAATCTTGGAGCACCTCTTTATAGAATAATTGGTTGGGCAACATTTAAATTTCGCACTACCATCTTCTTGCTCTACCTGTAGGCGATATTCCTGCTCATTGTTTGTCTTCTACTGAAATGTTCATGCCTGATTTGTATGTGTTTTCAAGCTTGTTAATGTGTGGAGAAATTATGCATACCAATTGTTTGACAATATGCCTGACTAAAATGACCCATAAATTCTCTTCATGGCAAAGCCTCTTTCTAAGATTGCAACAAAATTTCAAGGAAAAGGCCTGGCTTATTTCTTACAATTTAGTTAGTTTCAATTAATTTTTCAAATTCATTTGTTCTTAAGTAGATAGAGTTTGTAATGTGTTTTGATATTTGGTTTCTCTACAGATAAAAAATGATCAAGAAGCGCCTCGCAAGTGGCCAAGTCAAAGAGCTCATCGAAGAGGCCCAAGACAAGGTCAAACTCATCGCTAAGATGTTCCATATGTATATTTCAATACTCTCTGTCTTCATTTGCTTTCTCTTTGCTTTTGAATACATCGATATCATTACAAGCAGAACCAATATCGAATATTGAGCTTCAAATTTTATGCAAGTGTTCAAGAGAACAGGATTTGAATCCTCCAATTGTAAATTAGGTTGTTCTTCGTTTAAAAGGGAAATGCAATTTTAAAGTTCTGTAAAAAAAAGTTGGTTTAAAGATCTTTTATTTGTTTCAATTTTGACAGTTAAATATAGCTAACTAGCTATGTATAAAATATTCAATTCTACAATTATTTGATTCTCATTTTCAGACAACCAAATACGCTCTTGATTTTCATTGCATAGAACTTGAATTAAACAAGATTCACAGGGGTGATTTGGGATGATTTAAATAAGTATACTTTTTGACTTTTTGTGAAATATGGGTTGGGTTTGAAGTGATGTAGTAGAGAGGTGAAATATACCTGACTAAAATAACCCTTAAATTCTCTTCATGGCAAAGCCTTTTCCTAAGATTTCAACAAAATTTCAAGGAAAAGGCCTGGCTTATTTCTTACAATTTAGTTTGTTTTAATTAATTTTTCAAATTCATTTGTTCTTGGGTAGATAGAGTTTGTAATGTGTTTTGATATTTGGTTTCTCTACAGATAAAAAATGATCGAGAAGCGCCTCGCAAGTGGCCAAGTCAAAGAGCTCATCAAAGAGGCCCAGGACAAGCTCAAACTCATCGCTAAGATGTTCCATACGTATATTTTAATACTCTTTGTATTCATTTGCTTTCAATTTGCTTTTGAATACATCGATATCATTACAAGCAAAACCAATATTGAATATTGAGCTTCAAATTTTATGCAAGTGTTCAAGAGAACAGGATTTGAATCCTCCAATTGTAAATTAGGTTGTTCTTCGTGTAAAAGGGAAATGCAATTTTAAAGTTCTGTAAAAAAAAGTTGGTTTAAAGATTTTTTATTTGTTTCAATTTTGACAGTTAAATATAGCTAACTAGCTATGTATAAAATATTCAATTCTAAAATTATTTGATTCTCATTTTCTGACAACCAAACACGCTCTTGATTTTCATTACATAGAACTTGAATTAAACAAGATTCTCAGGGGTAGTTTGGGATGATTTTAAATAAGTATACTTTTTGACTTTTTGTGAAATATGGGTTGGGTTTGAAGTGATGTAGTAGAGAGGTGATGTGACTTAAATAAGATGATGTGACTTAAATAAGATAGTGACTTTTTGACTTTTTTAAAATACCCCAAACAGGGCCTAAATATGTTCTTATTTTCTTTTAGTGATATTTGCTTCTTGTTTAGTGATATGTCTTAGGAAATGTAAATTTTTATTGTATATTTATGCTTATACTTATTTAGTTTATCATTCTCAATTATTCATTTGTTTCTTGATGATTATTTTCTGCATTTCTTTATTAATCTGTTTGTTTGCTTTCTGATGAGAATTGACATTTTAAGGCCAAAAAAAGTCATGAGTTATCCTCAATTTAAAAATCTAATGCATCCCTATATGTTTTTACTAAAGCAATTTGTATGTATATTTCTTCATATATATGAGATAGAAATAATTTTGCTCCAAATTAGGAAACTTTGCCTTACTAAATTTTATTGCAGAACGTTTTTCCAAACCGGTAGACTGGTAGTGTATAAACTGTTTTTGTTGAATTGAATCATTAAAATAGGTTTATAAAATATTGATTTCATTGGCAGCCAGATTTATGTAATATGTGTGCCTCTACACTCTTACCAAAAAATTTGTATATAAATTTATTTATAAGTGTAATGTATGCGTTTATATTTTTGTAATCGCTGGATATTTCATGGATTGCTTACTGCTCCCAATTAGGAAACTTTGCATTTTTATTTGTTAATTTGGAACGTTTTGCCAAACTATTAGAGTGTTCCCAGTACCCTAATTAGTTTATTCTCCTATATTCATGGACTTCTAACGTGATTATTGGATTGGATAAAATTAGATTGAACCACACTTCTCAAATTGCCTAGATA